GTTATATATATAATAACTTCGAGTGGCTGAAACTAATGCATCTGCGCGCATTCTTGATTGAACTCTGTTTTGAAGTTTGAATCCCCTGAATTCTTCTTCGTGTTTAGTTATCCGATATGTCAAGAGTTGAAGTCGTGGAGAGAAGATCCGAATGCCGCCAACGAAGATGGCATATTCAATCTTTTCAAAGACGACAGTGACCGGATCGTAATTGCAAAGTTTTTGGCGGTAGGAGTCGGTTCTGTTTCTGTTGACAGACTTTTTAGCTGCGCTTCAGGCTCTCGGCGCTTGCGGCTTACGCAGAAATGATCCACGCCTGGAACGGATGCTGGAAAATTTTCGGAAAATTCAGCATCAAAAATTGCTGAATGGCGACAAGGACGCTTACACTTTAGTCCTTACAAAGGAGAACCTTCGAGCGTAATTTCACTTTGCTTCTGTGTCATCAACTTTCTTGCTCGTGAACGTGGTTTATTGTAAAACCTGACCGAGCGAAGGGTTAGCTGTTTTCGGCAATGCGTGTGTAGGGACTGATAGATGCGCTTTTTCGCACGGTTACCATCACCTTTTCAGTAGAGACGTTCATTTTCAAATCCGATCGAACATCATTTTGATTTTCGTGCAGTAATGACCTCCGACGCAAGGAACTAGGCAACTTAATAATATTTATGCTTTATTACAATTATTTCTCGAACTTAAAGCAATGCATCGCAAATTAATACAAGTTCATGGATTGTTTTTATCAAAAAATGGAGAATTTCTTTCGTGGGTTGCTGACCATACTGAAAAATAGCATAAAATATTGTTTATTCAACAATTTTTTCGTGCGTTGGTGTTCGTGCTGAAAGCTGAAAAATGAACAAAAACAGTTTATTTTGCGCACAACGCAAGCGATTGACCAGTAATGACGTTTTGACTCGTCTTTCACGAGCCTTTTCAGGATAGTCTACAGTTGGTAGTGTTATCCGCAGCTGTGCGTTTGGCCCATGCTTGTGAAGTAGCGAAGTAGGTGAAGTAGTTTTTTGGTCACAAGCCTGATAAACCGATATTGTTAATGCACCAACTTATCCGTTTATGCATTTTCAGTTTTTAAAACACGGCTTATTAATACAGAGTGTAAAAACTAATATGATCAATCGGATAATCAATCGCGCAATTGACCATAATATGCTTTGCGTTGTGTATATATAAACAGTGTTTTATTATGCTGATTTTTATCTGCTTACCAAGGAAGTAAAATATGGTTATTTTGCTATTCATCCTTTTGGACATTCACTTGTCTCCAATATTTAAAATTATCAATCCACAGTGACTCAAATTTCGTGCTTCAAATGAACTCGAAAAAATCTCATTGTCGTCATCATGCGTTCAATATCGTTCAATTGCTATTCATGCCGTACATATTTCAAATTTATTAAGCATCACGAGCTGCTCTTCGTACACCCGAGTATATCAAATAACGAATGAACTCATCCAAGGCCAGTTTACACGGCGAAATGCGCCGCCCCTTTACTCCTAGAACGGGGAGAGAGGCGAAATAGTTTTACGGCCACTTTATGCAGATGTTCTATGAAGAGAGCCCAATGAGCAGTAATACGAAGACATTTTTGTAGTGTGTGCTTCCCTTCGTACTCACAGAATGTTACGTTACGAAATTTAGTCGCTTTTCGTCTGTCGAGATGGAATGTCAATACGACGGTCTTGCCAGGACCTGGTCGGGAGCAATGTACTGTGGAAATATACCTACACGATGGTATGGTCAGAATTCAGGGTGGCTTAAAAACTTATGGTTGACACTGAAAGCGTAGTCGAATTTTCTAGATATTAGGTTATGCCTGCCGGTGAGACATATTAAAGAGAAACGGTGCTACAGTCGATCCTAGTCCTGGCCTTATTGAGGAATCGTGAGGAAACGTTGACCTGCATGGTGAGAAAATCTTGTATTCTAAGTTTTGTTCGCTTTCGTTAAGCATCTACCATAGGAGACGTTAGGTACTTAAGTACGGTATTATTTTGGTTGGTTTTAGTTTCAAGTCATGTCTTTACAAGCTGTGATTGTCCGTTGTAAGGGTCATAGATGCAATGCCAGTTTCTTGCTTTTTTCAGTTTCTGGAAACCAGTTTCGACATTGGTTGTACTTAGAAGAATTTGAATACAGCAGCAACTTCTGCCTGGCTAAAATCCGGCTTATTTAGGTGGCAAGCTATGCTGTATATTTCAAGTGATCATGAAACGAATTAATCGCTGCAACAGTTTGAGGAAGTAAAAAGCAGTAATCAACTGGATGATTTAGACCGACCGGTATTTGGCGACGAATCTTGCCGTCCTCAGCACTTTGCGTTGTCATAGAATTCGAAGTTTTGCCACCTGCTGGCAGGGTTGACGGTGACAGAGCAGTCATCTCAGTTCATAACTGTCACTATCATTTGCCGGCTTTCCCGGTTTCGGTTTTAATAGCGTGACGGCGGCTGCTCATCGCCGTACTTTTGAAATTTGTCCAGTGTCATGGACGTTTATGAAACAGTCCGACCATTTTTTCTTAATCATGGGCCTTAGATTTCCTATGAGCAATTCGAAGTTACCTTCTTCTCGAGATGTTTCCCTGGCTTCATTTCGGCTAGACTAAGGTCCGTGCCTCTTTTGCTGAAAGGAGTTGAGAGTATTGGAAAGAAGGACATGGCCTCGAGCAGGCAGCATTTGATATCCCGTTTTACTCTCCAATCTTGGGTGGTCTTGGAGATGGCCAAGATCAACGCGACAATTCAGCGCTGACCTGAGTATTTCTGCACTTTATCGAATTTACTGCAATATGCCGCCTAAATGCGTTGCAGTATTTAAGACTGGAGGATGCGAAGTGCATTCTTTGCAGCGTTTCCTCCATCACTGCCTATTTACACCGTCGAACTTCCGACAGCAAGGCAGCAGTTGTCTACGGGTGTCTACTCAGACTGTACCATCTCAGCAGTTTCCCGCTATCGTCCATTCAGCAAGGCGGGTATCCTTTAGGGCAACAGAACAGAATTTGCCATTGGCACGATTAGTATGTCAAAGCAATGAAATTGCTGGTATTCGTCTCGCATTAGTTAATCATAATTATTTGCTCGTTCCATGTTCAGAAGGTAAACAATGAGATAAAAAGATTTCATGCTGCTTTTCTACATGTAAATACAGACAGTGGTCTCAAATCCTTTCGTAGTCAGTTTAAATTGCTCCTAGGCAGAATTTCTTTCAGATCATGAAAATGCCATTCAGTAATATATATTTGTCATCTTCATCTTCCATCGCCGCTTCTCCTTTCGGGTCGCGGAGGCAGACGCGTCAGACAGTGCT